AAAAAAGCGCGTTATGCTTGCAAGTGCCATTTAGAAGGGAAAATGCATTAGCCGCCTGAGGATAACTTATTCTAAACAGCATGTAGTCAACAAGCTAAGAGAAAAGGTTCTGAAGGAATGTGACCCAGGATGCTGCTGGGTGAGTTAGAATTGAGGAAATAATATAAAAAACAGATTATATTTTCTCAAGAAAAGAGGGCCCTGCCCTGGAGATAATAAACATCTCAGAACAGTGTAAAGAATAAACAGAGCATGGCCAAAGGAGAGATGAGCAGAGCCTGAATTGGCACTCTGCTTACTGCATAGTTTTGTCAAGAAATGCCTAAGCTAGATGAATATACAGGATTCTGTTTCCAGATCATTATTCCCCGGCTACAACTTGATATCTCTGAGTCCAATGCAGGCACTTGTCTAGATCAATAGCCCACTGTGAACAGATCTTGACAGCTGCTGTTTTTCACCCTAACATGATGCTGGTGAAATCTCAAGCAGAGACCATGGACCAATCATTCCTAGCTATCAGCCATCCGTTCTTTGGCAACAAGTAATAAAATCATAGAGAAAGTCAGAGAGACATGAGATCAAAGGAACAAAATGATTGACTAAGACTGGATTCGCATAGGAGAAAAACTGTCTCCCAAATGTTATTGTGGAAGCTCATTTTGGCCAAATGCATTGCTTTACTGATCCATTCCATTTCTTGGCTTCTCTCCCACATCCTTAAGTCTCCTGTTCAGTACTTACTGGATTACAGTGTAGGGAGAAAGGAAAAGGCAATGCTCTTCGGTAAGCAGCTATTTTGTCTTTGTTATAGTTTGAATGATGCCTTCAAAACTCATGTTGAAACTTCAACCCCAGTGTGGCAGTATTGAGAGGTAGGGTTGTGAAGAGGCGATTGGCTCATGAGGGCTTTGTCCTCATTAATGGATTAATTCACTCATGGATTAATGGGTTAATGGATTAATGGGTTGTCATAGGAGGGGAATTGGTGGCTTTATGAGAAGAGGAAGAGAAACCTGAGCTAGCATGTGAACAGGCTCAGCCCCCTTGTCTGTAATTCTCTGAGCCACCTTGGGACTCTATAGAGTCACCAACAGCAAAAAGGCTCTTACCAGATGCTGCCTCTCACCCTTTGACTTCTCAGCCTCCATAACTTAAGAAATAAATTTCCTTTTCTTTATAAATTACCCAGTTTCAGGTTTCTGTGATAAGCAACAGAAGACGGACCAAGACAGTCTTCAAACCAGAAGTACAGATTCTACACCTGTAATCGACAGTGAAAATATAATGGCTTCTCATTCTTTTTTTATGTTTTTTAAATTATTATTATTCACAGAAGACTCACTGAATGGCTTCTGATTCTCATGGAATTTCAGAAATGGTCTTCAAAAGAAATGAGAGACAGGATCAGTGAATCTATAGATATGTGACATGCTGAGGGAAGTGCAGTGTATGAAGCAGCCATGGATCATTTTCTCAAAGAGTTACCTGCAAGCTGGAGAACCAAGGCACAAGAATGACAAATGTGCAGCACACAGGCCTCTTCTCACCTCACCTGCCCCAAGACAGACATTAGTATCGATCATGGTGTCCTTTCCTACTAAGCTCACGTGCAACCTCAAATTCCTTTCCAGCACAGCACTTCAGTAGCTGCTATCCATCTTTCAAAGTTAGGACATGATTTGAGATATTTTTGCTATCTCTGGTCACAATTGAAGAGAAACAATAATGACATATTACCACCAGATATTCATGTAAAAAGTCCAGTTTTGTGGTACAAGCAGTAAGGCAGCAGAATTCAGAGGGAAGCTTCACGGAGGAAGGGACTTATACTGGCTGTGGACATTCATGTAGAATTTAAAAGTGAAAGAGTGAATTTGGTAGTGAAACAACTACTTATAAAAAGTATTTGTTTATACACCCTCTAAAATAATCTAATGTGCCTCCATTAATAAGTCTTTATTAATATGTGCCACACCAGCATTAGTGATTAGGAGGATGGGTCTTGAAAGCAAGGTAGATCTGAATCCTAACCCCAACTTCATTACTGAATGTCTGGGAGGCCTTAGGCCAGTCAACCAGCATCTCTAAATTTCCTCATTTGTAAAACTGGCAAGTAATAGAACCCAAAGCATAGTGTTATTCTGAGGATTAATTGAAGAGATTCCAATCATGTGTTCAGCAGTGCGCCCATTATCATTATTTTTAGAGATTTTTAGGTCATTCTATTTCATCCTGGCTAGGGACATCTGTTCCTCAAGGCATTTTCTATACCAGAATATATCAAGGTACAACGAAACAACAACGGTCTAGAAATTATATAGATGTGGGCCGGTCGCGGTGACTCACACCTGTAATCCCAGGACTTTGGGAGGCCGAGGCGGGTGGATATGAGGTCATGAGATCGAGACCATCCTGGCTAACACGGTGAAACCCCGTCTCCACTAAAAATACAAAAAATTAGCCAGGCGTGGTGGCAGGCGCCTGCAGTCCCAGCTACTCGGGAGGCTGAGGCAGGAGAATGGCGTGAACCCAGGAGGCAGAGGTTGCAGTGAGCTGAGACTGCGCCACTGTACTCCAGCCTGGGCGACAGAGCAAGACTCCATCTCAAAAAAAAAAAAAAAAAAAAAAAGGGGAATTAGATAGATGTGTCATTAAATCCAGGCTTCATCATTTGCTAGATGTGTAAGCTGAGTAACTTACTTCTGTAAAGTAAAATGAAGGAAATATTGAAGAATGTAAATAAGTCGTATAGAGGAAGTGCTGGCAAATTGTTGTTCCTTGGTAGGTGATAATTCTTTTTATACACACTACTGTGTCCAGGTTTTCTTCTCTGAATTTTTGAAAACTGACACAGGCTTTTGAAATCTGAAATCCTCAATTGTTTATCTGCTTTGGATCTACTTTGTTGTAAAACCTTGGATTCTAAAAAATAATTGTGCATTCTCCTTTCCATTTGAGCAAGCAAGAACAAGACTATACTAAGAAGTAGAATGAAGAAGGCCATCTGAACCTTAGAACCCAAGAAACAGGTTTCTTTCTTCCTGGCTCCTATTGCCCTCCAAATGAGGAATTTCTCTTCTTGAATTGAAATGCAAATTGTATATGACTTTAAATATCCTTTATCTGACAGATCTGAGAAATACAGCTCCTCTCTGCTATCTATGGGGTGGGCCACTTCTCAACTCTAAAGCTCCTGCTTTTTTAATCTAACTCTTTGAGCCAGCAAAGGAATGCACCCCCCACTGCCCAACATTGTTCTTTCTCCAGTGAAAGCTCTCACTGTAGCCTTTAACCCAACGGGCTTCAAGGTGGCTCTGGCAAAACCACTTTGACAGGTGGATAGAGTAGCTCTGTCTCCATTTATACCTTTTCCTTTCAGTTTAGCACTCCCTCTTCAGCAGTAACTCCAGCACAGCTTTGCTGAAGTGGACTCCTGCTACAATGAATGGTCCTGAGATCCATATCTCATTTCACAGCAGCTGCCAAGGAGCTGTCAGAAGGTGTTTCTTATGGCCACAGGTCAGATTTAAAGCTGTGACCTCAAGGAAATGCACATGCTTCCTATCCCATTAAAAGTAGCTTGAGCTAGACACTGGCCTCCATGGAGTCCATCAACTTTGTTTTGATGGCTGGAGTAGGGCTGTTGCTTGCATTGAGAGAAGGAAAGTTGCAGTCTCTCTTAGAGATTGAGATTTCACTCAAAATATTTTTTTTCTGCTCAGCAAACACTCACCTATTTACTTCTACAAGTTAAAAAAGAAGAGTTTTAACTCTGCAATACAACCCAAGAATCGAAAGCAAGAGTCAACGCAAGAGAGTTTCAGTCCCATTATGGCATCCATGTCAACTACTTACTGAATGGTCTGGAAGAGCAGGTAGATTTCCGTGTGAGCAGCAGAATCAACAAATTATTGATAGTCACTGTCTGGAACACTGTGCTAGAATACTAAATTGGAAAGGGGGGTGGTCAATTAGCAGTGTGCGTTAGATCCAGGATTGGGAAAAGACAGCAATTATGCCATATATTTACTGACCTTACTCAATGCCAGAGCCTCCAAGTCAACTTTTCTGCTTACAGGTCTCCATACTTCAACCCATTCCCCATTCTGCCACCATAGTCAGTAATTCAACACTCACATCTAATCACATCATTTCTCCTATGGCTCACAGTGCTGTTTTTTATTTTTTATTTTTTACTTTTTATTATACTTTAAGTTCTAGGGTACATGTGCACAACCTGCAGTTTTGTTACATATGTGTCCATGTGCCAGGTTGGTGTGCTGCACCCATTAACTCATCATTTACATTAGGTATATCTCCTAATGCTATCCCTCCCCCCTCTCCCACCCCACAACAGGCCCCAGTGTGTGATGTTCCCCTTCCTGTGTCCAAGTGTTCTCATTGTTCAATTCCCACTTATGAATGAGAACATGCAGTGTTTGGTTTTTTGTCCTTGCAATAGTTTGCTGAGAATGATGGTTTCCAGCTTCATCCATGTCCCTACGAAGGACATGAACCCATCCTTTTTTATGGCTGCATAATATTCCATGGTGTATATATGCTACATATGTATGGCTCACACTGCTCTTATATGTATGTTCCCTAGCATGGTATATAATGCCTAGTATGGTGTGCAATGCATAACTGGGCTCTAGCCCATCTCTCCAGCCATTCCTCTTATCACTCGCCACCATAACACTATGCCCTGGTCACCCCAAATTTTTCATACTCCCTGAAATGTTGATTCTTTTTGTACATGCTGTTCTTCTTCTCTGAAGTGGCTTTCCCTACCTTACTCCACTTGCGAAATTCTATATATCCTTCAAAGCTCAATTCGAATGGCACTCCTTAGTCTCCCCACCCTGGATGCCAAGATCTTTTGTTCATATGACTATTATGGCACTTTTCATATCATAGTCATATTAATGAGAAACATTTTTTTGTAACTGATGAAACCAATTCAAACTGCCTTAAGAAAAAAATAGCAAACTTGATTCTTTTTTTTTTTTTTTTGAAACAAGAAAGTACTATTTATTCTCTTATGTTAATAAAAAGTTTGGCGATAGAGTCTTCAGACATAACTGGATCAAGATGCTCAAATGGTGTCTTCACAGCTGACTCCTTCCTCTCCAGGTATTTCTCTCCTTTATGTTGACTTAATTCTAAGTGGTTGGTTTCTACTTAGAGAACACTTCAGCTGCAGGTCTGCAGGAAGGGAGTCTTCTTTCCTAATTGTTTCAATAGAAGGTGCAGATTTCAGTCTTATTTGTCTGTCTTGGATTATTTGCCCTCCCTTGAAACAATCACTGTGACCAACAGAAGTGAATTTTCTGATTCTCAAGATATGGGTCAGCTTCCACCTCTGAAGCAGGAAGGGTAAATCAACTACTCCACCCAAATCATACAGAGCTACAGTGGGAAAGACTAGCTTCACCAAAGGAAGACTGGGAGTGTTCTATTCAGAAAAATGAGGCATCTGTTCCAGGCAGGTAAAATATAACAACTGTACATACACACAAAATGGTGAGTTTTGAGTTTATATGTGTCTTTCCCCCACCAAACTGAGCCTGTCTCACTCATTCACAGTCCCCTGTGGCATGGCCCTCAAGGACAATATAAGGACAAGCACTTCTCCTTAGTTCTTTGGGAATGTATAGTAGCTCCATTTAGTCCCTTGAGAACATGGTTATTAATTGTCTGTGTTTACTGAATATTTCCTCATTCTGTGAAGCAATTTATGAGTCGTGGTGCAGCTTGCAGAGACAAGCATTTCTCGAGTCCTTGCTTGACAAGCACAGAAGGAAATTTATGTGTTGTACTGTGATATGTATTATGTTTACTTGCTAATGAAATGTATTCCAGTTTTTGTGTTTATTTATAGCACACCAATTCAGAACTGATGCAGTCATTAGAGAATGGCTTATACGTGACCAATTTAAGATATTTAAAACCTCTTATTGTAGTGACAAAAGATAAGGGAGTTAAAATGAATAAGGAAAGAGAAGTTTTTGTTACTGACAAAAGACAAAACAGGGAATGAGAGGTCTCTAGCGAATATAGATATATATGCATCTTATCTGAACATTTATTTGAAATCCTATTTGATTTTTAAGTCTCAGTATGCAGAGAAAAATCCTAGTCACTCATGGCTAATCCAGAAAAGTCTAAGAAGATTGTATGAATATTAGCCTTTGAGTGGGTTATAATACCTTTAGTGGTTTTTTTCTCTGTAACTCCCAAAAGTCTCCCATTCTGTGCCTGATATAGTAGGAAACACAATGGCTTTATAGTTTTAAAGACCTGCATTCAAGTTTCTGCCTGCAATATTCTGCCTCTATTGTCAAAATACACAGTTGTATATTTTGATAACTAAGGAAAGGAAACCAAGATAAATTCAAATGCATTGTTCTATGTGCTTTATATATATTTACTCATTTAATCCTTACAACAAGTTTTTGATGCGGGTATTTCCCATTACACAAGTGAAGACACTGAGGCACAAGGCAGTTAAGTAACTTGCCTAGGATTGCACGCTTAGTGAGTGACAGAGTCATCAATTTGACACAGGCACTTGACACTGCAGTTCATGTTTTGACCATGCAGTATGTTGCTATTTACTATGTTGAATGGCTTCTCCAGTATGGCTTGGGAATAAGACAGGTCTAGGCTCAAACTCCAGCTCTACCACCTGCTAACCAGTGACTTAGGCAAGTTACTTCAACTCTCTAATCCTAGGTCTGCATCTGTTAAATGAAGATAATAATATCAATATAAACCCACTAGCACCATACTTTGCACTCAAATGTTAGCTTTCGTCCTGCAGACACACATGGTAATTGTAGACCGGCTTAGTGTCTAACCTCAGCCGCTGAGTGTATGTGGCTTTAGGAGAATATTCAAAAGAAAGCACAATTCTAGAAGTCACCCAGTGAGTTCAGGTAGAGACAAAAAGAAAAAAACAAGTATTTCAGACTTGACGTATAAAAGCAAGTTTTGGCTTTGAATTATCCAATTCATTTTGGGAGTGTCAACCTAACTTATGAAACGTTGTCAGTGGTCCAAAAGTCACATTAGGATTTCAGGAAAGAAGAACTAGGCTACTGATCTGCACATTCAAGAAATATCAAAGATTCAGTGTTCCCCTGTGACAGAGTAAGTGAATGTGTATTGCCAAAACAATCCCTACACAGTGGTGTCATATGTGTGAAATCCTTCAACAAAAGACAGGTAGGCCACAGCCAAAGAGAAGATTTTGGCTCCAGTAATCACCCAGCTGGTGTTTTCTGACAACCTAATGACCAAACTGAATCATCTGCATAACCAATCTAATTGATTATATTGAAACAGATTATGAAGGTGGTTAAAAAAAAAAAAAAAAAGATATCCAGGCAGTCTAGAGGTACATTTGCATGTCCCTATAGATACCCAATATAAACCTAGATTTTTTTTAAAAAAAAAAGACAGTATAGCTGTTTATTTGCTTCCAAACAGTTGGCTAGTATATGACCTGTAGACACATAGCCATATGTAATCAGAGTCCATCCTCACTGATCTAAAATATGAGAAAGGATTATTATTCATCTCCATAGCAACAATTTATTGAACAACTCTTTGTTGGGCACTGGGCTAAGCACATAAGGTATATTATATAATATAATCCTCACAACCCTATTTCAATGCAACAAGTACAACTATTACCTACATTACAGACAAGGAAAGTGGCTCAAAGACTGTAATCGGCTTTCCCAGGTCCACACAGCTGGTTTATTGGTTTCAACACTTTCATCTGCATATCAGAAAAACCTAAGTTCAAACTAAAGACTTTATTATCCCACGTAACAGAAAGCTTATTAGAGGCAGAGCGAGCCCTGGAGATGATTGATTTGCTTGAGTAATAGCTTATGCATCCTGTTAAGGTCCAAAGTTCTTTTCTGTTTCTCAGCTCCCCCTTTCACAGGCTGCAGCGGTTTCAGGTATCATATCTAGAGTCAGTTCCTGTGGATTTCTTTTATAAGACAGAAACTTTCCTCAGACACACATCCCAGTGCTCCCCAGCTTCTTTCATGTCTTCTGGACTCAGAATATGTGACATAGCCATTCCTAAACCAATTGCTTAGGAAAAGGTATAGAATTATCATTAAACTAATTGGGCCGCATGGAGGCAGGATGATGCTGAAAAAAATATTGGTTTCAGATTATTGGATAGGAAACAATATTGGATGGGAAAACAAATAGCAGATTGACTCTTTGTTTTCCTCAGGTTGTTGGCTATAAATCAACAGTAATGGTCATTGCAACCAAGATATCAATAAAAGGCAAACACAGGTGTGTCCAAAGTAGGTGTTCTTAATTAATGAACTCTACCACATGGTAGGTTTATATTCCCCTGTCCAGATAAACCAGGGGCCTTTATCCCAGTGCTACCAACCCAGAGAAACTGCAAAACTCCTGTTAACTGGTCATCTTGGGAGGCAATCAGTGCTTCTAGACATAGATTCGACTGTGTCAGCCTTCAAACTGAACTACTTGCTTCTGTTCTTGCCACCTTCCAGTCTGTTTCTCATTATGGCTCAAGGGATCTGATTCAAATTTAAACCAAGTCATGCCATTTTATGTTTAAAATCCTCAGCAGATATCTACAGTTATTAGGATAATGGCCAGCACCTGGAACGTGTTCCATGACCATGCATGTCTGCCTCCTGCCTATCTCTCCAGTAGCCTGTCTCTCTTTTCTGGCCACACGGGCTTCCTTCACACTATCCTCCCATGATTTTCACATGCTAGTCTCTCTTGGTAATTCTTCTCCCACTCTCTTTACCAAATCAACTCATTATTCTGATCTGGGATAAACCATCATCTTCCTCGGAGAAGTCTTTCCTGACCCTTGATAATATCAAATCGCCATCTTAGAGCCTCTCACAGCACCACGTTCCCCTGCAGCGAACTTACATTAAGCTTGGACTATTATGCCCACTTACTACAGTTTCATTTTCTATTTATTTGAGAGGTTAATTGATTAATCATACGTGTTCGTTAGTCTATAAGCCCACTGTCTTAGTCCATTTTGTGTCACTATAAAGAAATATCTGAGGCTGGGTAATTTATAAAGAAAAGAGGTTTATTTGGCTTGCACTTCTGCCACCTGTCCCAGAAACATGGCATCAGCATCTGCTTCTGGTGAGGGCCTTAGGAAACTTCCATTCACAGCAGAAGGCAAAGAGGGAGCAGGTGTGTCACGTGGAGAGAAAGGAAATGAGAGAGAGGGGAGGAAGGTGCCAGGCTCTTTTTAACAGTCAGATTTCACAGAGACAAAGAATGAGAACTCACTCAATCTTATGAGAATGGCACCAAGCCATTCATGATAGATCCATCCCCATGACACAGACACCTCCCCACTAGGCCCCATCTTTAACACTGGGGATCAAATTTCCACATGAGATTTGGAGGGCACAAACATCAAACCATATCAGCCATGAAGGCAGGGATGGATCCTGCGTTTGCTGGTTTGTATCCCTGGTTTTTAGCACGTTGCCTGGCACACGGTGAGTGCTCAAGACATACTGGTTAAATTAAAAACAAACTAGAGAACTTAACACTCCCACTCTATTGCCTTAGCCTCTTCACTACTGTAATTCATCTCCATTCATTCTCCCTCTCCACCTCCACCTAAGCAGATTCACATCTTGACCCCAATCTCCTCGCTCCCAATCTCTCTCTGTCTTTTTTGGTTCTGCATACTCTAAGGAGTTGGACTCACCTCCAGGATCTTTACAACTGATGCATGGTGCAGCCTGATCTCAGCAGCTGGATCTAGAAAACAACTAAAATGCTCCCAAGTTCCTAAGATGTATTAGAAATAATGAATAAGCAAACAAGTAAATAAATTAGCAGCACAGTGTATGACTAAAAGCCCAAGCTTTGCAAGTTACAACAGTGAGATCTTAATTTACTAAACGTATACCCAGGTTAGCTACATAACCTCTCTGAGCATCAGTTGTTTCAGCATAAAATGGGGATAATGATATTGATTTCACAAGATTTTCATAGGTATTCAATAAGCTAATGTATGCAAACATTTAGCCCAGAAATGGAAGCTATTATTAACAAACCAAATTCCTATAATGACAAAAATGTTCCTCTCAGAAAATCTGTCTTTGAGCCAAACTCTTTAATAAAATGATGGAATGAATTAAGGAAGAGGGGGTTAAAAACTATTGCTATACAGATTTCAGGCAATGGATGTAGTTAATATAAATTGTTCGCAAGGCAAAGTGCTTGACTTTTTGAACCTAGTCAGTCCATGCTGTGCTCAGAACCCCAACAAAACTTTTAGGTCCAATAGAGTACTGAAATCCAGGTCAATTGTTCTTTTTCCAGAGTCCAGTCCTAGATTAATTCTCTGCATTAAAACTTTTCCTGTATTAATTAGCTCACTCCCTTCTGCTCTGTTAAACTTGGTATTATTCTGCCACTTAGTTTTGACAACAAAGAGCAGTTGTCAACAGCAGTTTTGGATGTTTGCATATTCTGCTTGTCTTCTCTGTCACTTTAGCTGTATGTTACAAGAAAAGGCAAGAATAATGTTTTCCAGCAGCTGTGGCAGAGTCTTTGGCATATAAACCATTCACCAGCATTTGACACCCACAGCAGACGTCATTAATCAATTAGAATGTTCTTTCCCACTGAAACGCACATGGAGTTTCTTATTCCTTTTCAATGCCAAACTACAGAAGCTGCACCACTTAATTAGAGTTGCTATGTAAGATATAACCTATTCTCCATGCTGGACTTAGGAAAATGTTCTACAAGAAACCAGAAATCTAGTTATCATACCAAGAAACGCAAGTGTAACCTTATAAAATATCACCCATGAGGACTAGCTTTGGAATGTTAACGCAATCAAGGAACTACAGTGCAGAAATAAAAAAGAACCGCAATCCAGAAACAAAAAATTATAATAATGGCAAAACTGCCCAAGTGCTTTACTTTATTTTCAAATGCCTTGAATGGAATACCAATTAGCTCAGACATACTCTATTTTAAATTTTCACTTTTCTTTCTTCTCTACTTCCTTCACACACTTCTTCCATGGCTCATTTGTCAAAATCCTCAAAATACTTGTCACCAAGCCCTAGAACATCCCCTCTTGCCCTTGTTCTCCTCCCAATTTTCTCTAAATTTGTATCACTGAAGCACAAAAAGCTAGTCTGGAATGATATAGAAGGGGGAAATACTGAAAAGGGTCATATCAGCATCATTTTTCACAGCAGGGTTAAAGAGAGGATTCAGAATTCTCACCCATTAGAAAGGTTTGAATAGACCGAGGCTGTAATTTGGGGGCCATTACTTCACCCTTCCTCCATCTTGGGAATCAACGGTTCCCATTACCAGTGCTGGCATTCGCAAAACGAATCCCAACAAGCCAAATCTAAGCGCAGCTTTGACATAATGAATGGCTTTTTTGAAGCTAATGCTCAGAATTCCCCACAGAGCTTGTGGGAAAAAAAAAAAACAGCCACTTCAAATGATGAGAGCCTATTTCCTCCTGTATAGCCACCTTCTGTCTCTCTCATCTCTTCATCATGTAACAGAAAATGTGAAAGGAGAAGAGACTGCTAAGAAGGAGACAGCCTTGATTTCATTCATTAAAAGAACCAAAAATTAGAAACAAGTGACAACTTCATTGGCTTCTACCTCATCTCAAAACATAAAATCCCTGAGCAATAAAAGATCCAATAAAAACACACAAAAGGACTGATAGAAAATGCGACCCATCACCATCAATTCCCTGACTTTAAAGGAATCTTGATCTTTCCACTGAATGCAGAATTTTTCTTCTAGCTTTGAGTTATATAAATTTTCATTACTGACATCCAATTTTATTTGAATTCTAAAACTTTTTTTAGAATAGGTACCTCACACAGCTATGAAACCCAGGATAGCACAGCTTTCCCTAGGGCCCTCTGTAGTTCAGGACAACCAAGCACGTATGTTCTGATTCTATGAGGGATGAATAAGACAAAAGTCTGGAGGAAATAGAGTGCCAGAAAAGCTCACAGAAGGTCAGAAGCAAGTCTTTAGAAGAGAGAGAACCAACTGAGTCAGGGATTCTGAAGTCTACCAGGCCTACTTAGAAAAGACTTATATTCAAATCAGCAAAGTGCCCAATACGCCTCTTCCAACCCAGGGTTGAAGGCACCCAAGAAAAAGTCCCTATGGCTACACTCCAGCACCTCAGGAGATGGCTTACAGGTATTAACTGCAGCAAAATGATATTACATCAGCATCATATTATATTAGATGGTCTGAGAGAGAGGAGAGAAAGGAAAGAAGGGATTGCTGGCCAACTTTGATATTACTTATAGTAGGGAAGTACCAGACACTATCCAAAACAGATAAATGTTTTGTATAAAGGTATAATAAGGGTAACCATTAGACAGAGCATCCAGATCTTCCTAAATGCTGATCTATCAAGAAGAAAAAGGAAAGAAAAGAAAAAGAAAAAAGAAAGCAATAAAATAAACCCATAGTGAAACATTATTGATGTACACACACCCCACATCACATAAAATAAAACAATATAACACAACTGAGATCAAAGCTCTCAATCATATCAATAAATATAAATGGGCATAACAAATCCATAAAAAATGTTTAGGTTTGCTAGCAAACCAAAATTCAACACATCTGAGAGACACATGCAAAACAAACAAATTACGAAAGATTAAAAGTAAAAAATGGATATATGAATAAGCAAAATCCAATTCAAAGCCATCATTGGAAGGGGAAAAGCCTGTTTACAAGGACAATAACTATTATTATTATTACAGTAATAATAACACCTAAGTAAAATCCACATGAGAAAAAGTAAAAAATATTTCTGAAAAACACAGAAGCAGACTTGAACAAATAAGAAGGCTGTCTTTCCATATTCTAGACAAGGAAGTACCAACATCAAAAAGTTGGCAGCGCACACAAAGTTAACTTTTATTCTTCGTGAGTGCCAATAAGATGTCATCAGGTTTTTATTTTCCTAAAGATGAAGTTGATTATACCACTAATTTGGAAAAACACCAAAAAATATAAGAAATAGGAGGGGGAAGCCTAGCCCTGCTTGATATTAAGATGTTTTTCCAAATCTATAAAACTTTTAAAATATGGTATTGGTTTTATTTTTTATTATACTTTAAGTTCTAGGGTACACGTGCACAATGTGCAGATTTGTTACATATGTATACATGTGCCATGTTGGTGTGCTGCTCCCATTAACTCGTCATTTACACCAGGTATATCTCCTAATGTTATCCCTCCCCCCTTCCCCCTCCCCACAACAGGCCCTGGTGTGTGATGTTCCCCACCCTGTGTCCAAGTGTAAAATGTGATATTGGTATTTGAATAGACAGAAGGACAAATGGAACAAATAGAAAATCCAGAAATAGATCTGATCACATATGAAAATTTAGCATTTAATAACTGAAATGTGTAAAATTAATATTTTTTATTAATTCAGATTCAGCATCTGAAATTAATTGGGAAAAGATGAATGTTTTAATAAGTGGTATTGAGATACATGGTAAGTCACCTGGAAAATGATAAAATTGGATCTATTCCTCACTCCATATACCAATATAAATTCCAAATGTGTCAGATTTAAATGTAAGACTATGACCAGGCACAGTGGCTCATGCCTGTAATCCCATAACTTTGGGAAGCGAATGCAGGCAGATTGCTTGAGGCCAGGAGTTTGAGACCAGCCTGGCCAACATGCCGAAACCCTGTCTCTACTAAAAATACAAAAATTAGTCAGGTGTGATGGTGCACACCTGTAGTCCCAGCTGAAGCAGGAGTATCACTTGAACCCAGGAGGTGGAGATTTCAGTGAACCATGATTTCACCACTGCACTCCAGCCTGGACAATAGAGTGAGATTCAGTCTCAAAAAAAAAAAAAAGATACAATAGATGTAAGACTACTACTATATCAGTACTATTTTAAAAATGGTTGAACTTGGGAGTAGGAAACACTTTCCTATGACTCAAAATCTAGACACAATAAGAGAAAAGTTAGATAAACTTGACATACAAATTAAAATTATAAAAACTATACAGCAAAAAATTCTTAATTTAAAATTTTTTAAACCCAGAGAAAAATACTTGCCACTTTTTGCAGGGATAACGAGTTAATATTATAAAAATAGAGGAAAAAATAGGTCAATTAATTATAGTAAACTGGGCAAGAGCTATAAAGAGATATTCCACCAAAAAGTAATGTAAATGGCTCTCAGTCCATATGAAAAGAGACTTAATCTTACTAATAATAAAATAAATGCAAATTAAGATTATATATGCTATTCACTCAGAATGGTAAAAAAAAATCTAAAAGTTCAATAATCCACTCTTTTGGCAAGGTTGGAGGAAACATTCTCATACATTGCTGGTACAAAACAGAACAAACCCATTGAGAAGAGATTGACACTATCTAGCAAAACTAATAAGCATTTACCCTTTGACTCAGTAATCTCACTTCTAGGAGTCCATTCCAATGGCAAAAATAGAAAAAGATGTATGCAGGAAATTATGTGTTACAGCACAATTTATTACAGTAAAAGTCTGCAAACAAACCAAATAGCTATCAACAGAGAACTGGTTTAGTGGTCAGCAAACCACAGTGCATGGGCCAAATCTCCAAGCCTGTTTCTATACAGCCTGGAAGTTGAGAGTGGTTTTACATTTTAAACAATTATAGAAAAAAAAAAAAAAAACTGTGACAAATATGTTATTATCTGGTTCTTTAGAGAAAATATTTGCTGAACTCGGCTATGACCCAGCAAGGTACATCTGCACAATGAAGAACTACACAATTGTAAAGAA